TATCCTAATTCCATTATCAGGCCAAGCTAGTCCCTGTTTATTAGGCCCCAAATATTTCATCAGCACTTCAGAGGTGAAGTGCCTGAGGCCAGTGCAGCCAGAGGGACAGGGAAGCGACCCCAAGGAGGGACAGACTGAGGCTGGAAGGACACTGCAGCCAGTGTCCATGAACAAGGACACTGCCCAAGGCAGACAGGGCACCTCGCGCCAAACGCCGGCAGAACAGACTGTGGCGGCGCCTGGGATGGGTCACAGAGCCTCGTGGACAGACCCTGGGGCGGCAGAGGCTGCTGCCCCCTCGGCAGTCTCAGTCTCGCCTTGCCCTCCCCTGGAGCAGCAATCGATGCCTCTCGCAGAGCGAAGCCACAGACAGTGGGGACAGCAGTCGTGTCCACCCTCTGTGCCATGTGAGGGGGCAATGCCCACAGAGGGGTGAGCGATGCCAGCTCCGGGTCGGCTCTGGCCCCCCAAGCCTTGGCCTGAGCCTGCCAGGGGGGACTTCAGGCTGCACCACTCAAGAGAAGGCGAACGCACTTTGCTTGCACACGGTCTGGGGGCCTTTAATAACTGGTTTTCAGTATTACTGTCAAGCAGCCTATGGTCCAACATGTTCCCAGCATCGCTGACACCTTCAGACAATGCTACTCTGTAATTTTTGCCCTTGTAAAGTAATTTGAAGAGCACTAAAATGAAAACCTGTGTCCAAGGGCAAGATCTTTGTGCATCCTCAAAAATGAGCTCTTAACAGCTGAAATTAAATTCAGCGATTTAGTCCAGGAGAAAATTAAATACCCAAGAATATTTAGCAAGACTGTCTCGAAATGTCTAACACAGTGCATCTGCTGAATCCAGCCAGGACTGACAGAACCTCACTGCTATTTATGCCGGAATGTTCCTCAAGGACACACTGAAGCTGAGCCAACTGCAATTTACTGTTGTGTCTCTCAGCTCCCTAATGGATCCACCAAACGGTTTCCCGTGAAGGAGTGTCTGACCAGCCTCTTCAGCACACAGACCCCTCAGACACGGCAAGACACATCCCTCTGGTGTCTGAGAGCGCATCCATCCAGCAGAAAGGGATCCACAGCCTTAACCTGACAGGAATTCTGCAAACAACTTGTGATACTTAGTGATTTTTGGCATAGTTTGCTCTGAAACTAAGTGCCATGCAGCAATTTGTGTCTGGCTCTACAACAACTTCCACAGCTGTAACTATTTCAGACACACTGTGGCCAGTGATGTAACATGCAATCCTGAATGATAAGTATCTCCAAGCAGATCATTACTCCACAGACCGAAGAGAGAGCACATTTTGCATGGGTGTTCCCAGCCACAGATGATGGGAAACAGCATCCACCTCCCATTGCCACGGCTGCCGCGGAGGCTGCCGCTGATGGGCAGGGGGAGGCAGATATCCTGGATCCATTTAGCACAAAATCTCTCCACGCCTTCAACTGTCACTGTGCCCAGGTCACACAGGGGCTCTAGCCACGCTCTGCTGGAGCACAGCACTTGAGAGGAGAAAGCCAACCCACAGCTCAGACAGGAACCCGAGGCATGAATTTCCACAGGGATTGTTCCTCCAGTGACAGGCACAGGTTGCCTCCCACGGCCCCAGCTCGCTGTGCAGCCCCAATCCCACCCCATGCCCCCCTCCCCTAGTTCCTGCCCTGCAAGGGCCAACCCCATGCAGCTGCACAGGGCCTGGCCCTGGGACGCCTGTGGCTGCATCCGTGATGAAAGGAAAACCTGGTGCCTCGTGCAACTTCAGAGTCCCAGGAGAAACAATAAACTTATTATGCATAATCCTCCAGCATCAGTCAGCAGATAAAATACACTCCAGGAGCACATACAGGTTTGTAAGCTAATGTATTAAAGATGAAACAAATCAAAAGCTCCGAGTGCTGAATGTTTGGATCCATCTTTTTTGTGTTCAAACAGGCAAGCAGACCTCGGGCTCTGGGAGGTGTCTTTGCACTAAGTGACAAACTACTGTGATTTATTATTTTACATTTCTCCAACTTCCAGCTGAACTATTTCTCTTCCACCTAAGGACACTGCAGTGGCACAATGCCGTGGTGGGACACATCCAACAGACAGGAAAGCATCTTACACCACTTCTCACTCCCACCCCCAACCTTTGCTTCCTCCCTAAGCGAGACACAATCAGTTCCTTGTGTCCTGCCCACGGCATGTTGAATCCAACATGCTGCTCAAAAATCCATTCAGGGATGCAGAAATGGGGGGAACTTGTGTTACTCCCCATTTCAGACAGCCACCGTGGACACCAGGTGCTGCTCCCCAGACCCAGGGGTGCCACAGCCTTCTGCACAAGGCTTTCCTCCCAAAAAGCAGTGGCATTTGCCTCTAAAATGTTGTTTTAAAATCCTGACAAGCACTAGAAACTATTTTGTCCCTGAAACTGTTCCCAGCAGTCACTGCCATGCAGACAGGGGTCACCGCCGGCCTGCGCAGGGCGCGAGGGGAAGCAGAGCACAGGGCAGAGCTGAGCTGGCTCTGCCACTGCTGCCAGAGTGCAGGGAAATAAATCAAGAAGGAAACTTCACCAGAACACAAATTTACGTTTCTGTCAAAGAAGAGTGGCTGACAGCTATTTCTGGAAACTGGTCTCCATCATATTAATTCAATGTCTAGTTGAAGTTGTCTCATTTGCAGCAAATCTGGCTGGTAAATATTAACCTTGGGCTTTGTTGAAATTCTCCTTGCAGATATTACTAGGGATTGGATGGACAATGAGAAGCAGGAGACAACTTTACAGGCCAACATCAGGCAGATCCTCCACAGCACAGCTTCATTTACATCAAGGCTATTGTAAGGCACCACAGAGCAAACGGCACGAAGGGGTCACAGCTCACACCTGGCAAAATTAAGGATGAAAAAACGTCAAAGCTGAGAAGCCAAGGGAAAACAAAACAGGGATGGGCAGGATCATCCACAGTGCTCAGGACTGCCCACTCACCTGCTGCGCATCTGCTGGGAATGGGTTTTGTGGTCAGAACAAGTGCAGAGCAGCATCTGCCTACTGAGATACATCAGACAAGACAAGCAGCTCCAGTGCATTTACAGAGACAAACCTCTCCTGCTCTTCGGGAGCAGATGCTAAGCAGACACTAAAGCTGTGTGATCCCACCCCAGAAATGGCTACGCTCCTCGACCGCCGAAATGATTCATCAGAAAGGTGCAAACCCATTCAGGAGCGACGGGGCACCCCAGAGCAGTGGTGCCAGAACAGGAGGACGGGCAGGGAAAGGCTTTCCTGCTGCAGGAATCAGCAGAGTCCTAGGTCCTATCGACCCTTTTTTGACTCTCCTAATTCCAGAGTGAGGACACAAACAGGTGCTGGTGCAGGATGCTTCTGGCACGTGAATCAGGGTCACAGGGCCCCAGCTCCGTGACCAAGTTCAAACAGCTCCTGCAGCCCTCGGCGGGCACCACCTCGGCCCACTGCCCACCAGAGCTGCCACGGAGACCGTGGGCAACAAGCTCCGTGGGCCAGCAGGACCCAGCAGACTCACACCCACTGAGCCCTCCACAGGCACCTCCACGGCGGTGGAGCCAAGTGCGCTGTGCCATCATCTGCTGCAACATCCCCAAACTCCTGCTGTATCCACCTGCCTCCAGCTCAAGGGCTTTTGTCCTCGCTGAGGAATTTCTGCATCCCTGGATGCTTTCATCAGAAATCTTTTAAAGCTGTTCACTTAGCACTATGCTAATGCAGAGCTGCAAAACAAACCCAGAACTTTCAACCCTTACAAACTATTTTCTGATATTTGACCAGACATCAGACGCTGCTCCACAGAGAGTGACTAATGACCTGCTTTCTGTGAGAGGGGAGAAAAACTTAATTATGTCCATTAAATTACTTCAAATATTTTTCCTCAGAGAATATGAATTATTTAAACTCAACACAGAGAAACCTGAAACATTAGCGAAAGCCCTTTGGGACTCGCTATGTAAATCCCCACTCCAAACAGATGGGGAAGCATGGCGAGCTGCCACGCAGCCACTGAAGCAATCACCAGCGCTGAGATTTCAATTCGATAGCTTTAATAAGGTCTTCCTGAGGAGAAGCCAAGGCCTGGAGCACTTGAAGGGTGTCCCAGCACCCGCAGGAAGGCGGCACAGTGCGAAACTGGACAGCCCCAAGTCGCTCTGAAGGGCAAACCTGGTTCCTCAGGAAAAGCTCACTGCCCTGCCACTCCACCCACCTCCAGCGTGGGGAACTCTGCCTGTCTGGGACTGACTTAGCTGTTTTCCTCTCAATCTGCTTTCAACTAGGTGAAAAGAGGGAGGCCCAAGGTATCACCTGGACTCCAGGCACAGGCAGCAAAGGGACTTTTCATGTTTTACTGAAGAACACATCCCCTCCCCCAGGTCCCAGCTGGCCGGAGGGTGCCCAGGGGTGGCACTGGCCCTGCAGCTCTCTGCTTTGGGAGGCTCCTCCAAGGGGGAGGACAGCAGCCAGCACCCTACACTCGGGGCTAAGCCCACACCTCTGAGAGTGAGACGGAGTGGTCACAGCCCCAGGTTCATTAGTGGGACCCCCGTGAAGGCAGAGGCTATGTCCATTTTTACAGTTGTCATTAAACATAACCTTGTGAGCAGTAAAGTCACCGAACTATTAAACTGTGTCCAAAGCAAGATAGCAGGGATGTGAATGTTCTAGAGTAATTTTACCATTACAGATGAAGCTGTGGGAAGTGCCTGACAGCATCCAGAGCTCTGGCACGTCTGCCCAGCCAGCCCCGGGGCCCTGCGTCCCACATACCCAGCCACCTCCCTCCAAATCCAGGCCTGGCTGGGACCTGCTAATCGACTCCACAACTACAGGGTGACCAAAGGCCATTCCACTGGTGGTGCTCAGGCTGCAGGAGTGGCCTGGCAGCACGGACCGGCACAGACAGTGCCA